AAACAAAGTGTCGTTTGGGCCTACCCGCTGGGCTGAGTGCAAAATCAGGCCTTTAGGGCCTGTGACCCTCAAAGGTCGGGCCTTTAGGCCCTGGTGTGTCCCTCCGGCCCTAAGTCGGGTCCGGTAGGACCCGTGTGACTCGAAGATGTAACATAGGGCCTGCAGGCCCTCATTTTCAGTCTTTCAGGCTAAAACGACACGGGGCCCTGCAGGCCCGTGTGGCTACACAGTATGCCACACCCCCCCCTCCTTGAAAGACCGAGCTTACCTGCGAGGGCGAAGCTGTCTGTCTGAGGGAGGGACCACAGTCCGGGTGGGAGGGGCAGGTCGTGAAGTTCCTTGAGCTAACCTTTGTCGCTCGTAGTGGGCGTAGATCAGCGGTGCGAATGCTTTCAAATCTGTTCCTGAAATCCACCGAGTGTCGTCGGGATCGCATGCTTTGAATGTAACTTTGTACTGTCGCGGCTTGCTGCCGTACTTGCGATCCGTGATGACGCGGTCAACTTCCTGATGACCATCCATAGATGGAGGGACCTGCGATCGTCGGCCCGGGAAGTCGTAGCTATTAGCTGGTGTATATGTTGCCAGCTTGATCACAAATGAAGGGCCATCGGGCTCATCGCCCGCGGCTGATGTTACGGGCCATGGTCCAAACCACTTGGGAAGCAGTTTGCAAGAAACATCCTATTCTAGTGCAAACTCTTCCGCGGAGACCCAAACCAGATCATCGGCGCGGATGGGACATGGCACGCGACACCTGTTGGATTGCTGCTGCATGCGGACTTGAGCCTTTTGCATGTTCGCGCAGGCTTGAGCCAGCAATTCCCTGTACTTCCGGACGGAAGCGGGAGAGCAAGCGGCGTCGATGTCGGCTGGTCGTGGGAGGAGAAGGTCGGCGAAGATACGGCCTTTCCGTCCACCGTGGTGCAACTCGAATGGAGTCACGCCGATTGCCGGGTGCACCGAAGTGTTGTAGGCGAACTCGATGTCGGGGAGGGGGTCAACCCAATCTTTCTGGTCCGGACGGATGAGCGTACGAAGCATCATTTAAGCGGTTTGATGTGCCCGCTCCGTTTGCCCGTCCGTCTGTGGATGCCGAGCCGAACTTGATTTCATCTTCGTGCCAGACTCCTGCATGAGAGCAGTCCAAAATGCCGACATGAAGCGAGTGTCTCGGTCGCTGACTATGTCTTCCGGTACACCGTGGCCGCAAATCCAGCCGGTGTGCAAGAGGCGTGCCATCTCGGGAGCCGCGGAGTAGTACTTGCAAGGGAGAAAACGCGCGTACTTACTCAAACGGTCCACGACTGTGAGGATGCCGTCGTGCCCGAGGCGATCGCGGAGAAATGGTCCGGTGACATCCATGGGAATGGAGAGGCCGGGTTCCCGTGGGATAGGCATCGGGCGCAACTCGCCGTAGGGGTTGCGATTGCGGGGCTTGCTTCGCGGCAAACTTCGCAATGGTCGCAATACCGAGTGACATCGGTAACGAGGTCGGGCCATCGGAATCGTTGTCGAAGCCGTGCAATGGTGCAGTTGACTCCGAAATGGCCGGCGAGTCGTGAATCATGATACTCGCCGAGAAGGCGAGTCCGAAGACGACGGTCTTGTGGGACACATAGTAAGTCCTTGCCTCTCGAGTGGAGGAGCAAGTACCCGTCGGCAATGCGATAGTGGCTGGCCGGCGGGTGATCCGAAGATAGCTGTGCATACAACGTGGCGAAATCCGGATCAGACTCATAACCCCGGATGAAGTGTCGTTGGAGTTCCTCGTCGAATGCGAAGGCATGATGTGTCATAGCGCAAAGATCAGGTCTTCACGAGAGTGCATCTTCTGCGCGATTGGAGAGGCCGGGGAGATGTTCCGGTGTGAAGTCAAATTGTTCGATGAAGTACATCCATCGTCCGATCGTGCTGCTCACCGTATCCTGCGTCTTGTAGTAGGTCAATGGGTTGTTGTTCGTGACCTTGAGAGCCATCACGAACGCGTGCAGCTCCTTCTTCCTTGCATCATCAAGTGAATTGATGGGAGGCACTTTGTGGCTGAAATACTCCACAGGGGGCCAGTCGTCGCCGTCGTGTTGTTCCAAGACTGCCCCAATGCCATAGCTGAAAGCGTCGGTTGTCACTCTCGTTGGCAGGGTGGGGTCATAGATGCGAAGGCCGTCTTGAGTGTTTGGAGTTTGCGATACAACACGAGAGAGAGTTAGCTACAGTTGTTGAAAACCTCAAGAAGGCCCAGCACCGAATGGTAGAACAGGCAAATAAGCACCGTCGCCCGTCACAGTTTCAGGTAGGCGACCTTGTCTGGGTCAAGT